TTTTTTTTGTAAATTGTTTTCTCATCTCTTTATTTCCCTCCATGACCCAGCACATGTCTTGTACCTGGGCTGTGGTCTCTGCAGTGGCACTGGGGTTTATTAGACCTCAAAAAAAGGAAATTGAAAGAACCCATGTGTGTTTTGCACGTGAAAAATGAGTCCATAGCTGTCTTTTTGCAGCTGATAATGCAGACAAATTGGAGCTGTTTGCTATGCAGTTCATTACTAGTAATAATAAACTGGTATAGTTATCATCAATTTAAATGTAAAGTGGTAGAAGTTTTTCTACAGGCTTTGCAGGTTTGGAGATTGGTGTATTCACCTGAATTTGTTACACTTCATTACCCTGTAAACTTTTCTCTCTTGCCTCCTGCCTCTTATTTGCATCTCACTGCATCTAAATTATGTCTTCATCTGGTAAAGATGAATGCTAATCTAGACTCCTATTTCTTCCTTCTAGTGGTTTATTGCTGCTCCCAAATATGCTGGCGTCTTTCAACATAATGAATTTGGGATTTAAAAGATGGAAAAGGAACAGGGTGGGGGTACACCCATACATGGACACAGATCCATACTTTTCTCTTTGTCTTCTAGTCTCTCAACTTGTCAAAGTCTGTTCAGAATTTAGGCAAGCTAAAATATAGAATTATATTCTAAAAAGAGAGTTTCCCATCCTGTTTCTTGTCTCCACTGGATGAGGATTGGGAAAATAACACTTATTGCAAGATTTGGCATAAAATTATCATCTTTGGCATTTCTTTTGTAGTTTTAGCCATCTTTTGGATGACAGGGTGGTCTGTAGACAAAAACCAGAGGCATGTTTTTTGGAAAGAAAGTGGCCTTAAGAAAGTACATATGTGATTTCAAGGCTGTTACATCTAAATCCCTAGGAGCTTTAAAAATAAAGTCATCCCTGGAGTAGATGGTCTGGTGGGCAGAGTGCAGGTTACATGTTCAAAGTGATGTGACATCTTTGCTCTGTCAAATGGGCATTATGGTACAACCCTCACCTAAAAAAGCAGATTCACTGTAATGACACCAAAGCAGCTGCACATGGGCTGTACAGTGGTTCAACGTGAGATGTGTCATAATTCCTACATTATATACTCAAACTCCATAATGAGCTAAAAAGACATATAGGAAAACACCTCCTTTCCTTGAAAGTTATGTTTCCCAAATGGGTTCTTCATGATGAAAACCCTGCACTGGCCAAAGGGGAAAGATGTAAATCACATGTTCCAATGAACACAGGCGTGCAAGGTTTTGATGTGACCATTCCTTTGTTAAAATGCATTACTCTGCAGAAAAATGGCAGAAAAACATCAAAAAGACCAGAAATTATTTACTTCTGTCCTACAGAGAATTGCACAGCTGTAACAGACCTAAATCTCTAAAATCCCACAGTGCTGCTTTCTGAGGTTCTGCTGCTTACGCATTCAACAATATCATCACACTTCTTATGACATTACTCTGAGAATTTATCCTTTTTTCTTCAGAAAACTCTTCGATGTTGGCAGTAAAGCCAGACAGATCAACTGTCTAGTTACCTTTTGATCTCCATCACTCACAAACCTGGAAAACAAAACCTTGGGCAGAATGAATGCCTGTAACGCTGTCAATACTTCTCCCTCCTGCCCCCTCTTGCTTCACCCAGCTGTTTTAAATAGTGAGGAGAAATTAAAATTCTTAAAGCCTTGCAGGATGTTTGGATTTCTGCCCTTTATTTCCATTTATATGCGCCATAGCTTGAAAATTTGCCTGTGATTTATAAATTCCCTCTTCAGTTCTCTTTTTAAAGGCAGCGACTAGGAATCCCGGCACAGAAAATGATCTGGTGTTGGCTTCCCCCTTTGCCAAGCTGCAGCTCACAGCCCTGCCCGTGTGGATCATCCCGGGCTTGGCGTTTTCCTGTGCCCGATGACATTATGCAATTACACGATGATAAACATCGTTCGGGAATACAAATGCGAGAGGTAAACAGCTCGGGGCTTTTTATTAGTTTATTCCAGGCGATCTTTCTTGTTTTACTGCGCAGCTCCTCCCCCTTTTACAGTTTTCTGCTATTCTTTACCAATTCTAGTGATTTGAGAAATGACCTTTAACCTACGCAGTTTGCAGACTCCTAAAGGGGATAATTGAAATGCCACAGTAAACCAAAGGCAATAAAATATTATTTACTAGGCATAAAACTAAGGTTGGTCTTCTTAAAGAAACGAACAGCCCTCTTATTCCTTCCCCCTCCCCGGACCTGGTGCTACACCTAATTTATAAATTCCTCACCAGGAGTGCGGAGGAACGAACAGCAGCCCGGGCAGTGAGGATTCCTAATGGAAAGGCTCTTCGGATATCAGAGTACAAAAACCTGCCGGGAGCGATGCTGCGGCCTCGAGCCCTCCGGGGCGCTCAGGTGTCGCAGAGTGCCGGGCTGAGCATCCCCTGCTCCCCGTGGGCTGGGGGGCTCCGCGCCGCCCCCACGGCTCCGTTCCGCGCCCCGCGCTGCCCCTCGGCCCAGCGCCGCGCCCCTCTCGGCGGCCCCGCGGCGCGACCCCCCCGGGCCGGCTCGGGGGGAGCGGGATCCGCCGGAGCAACCGAGGGGCGGCCCGGGGGGCGCAGGGCCGAGGGGGAGCCCCCCGCCGGGGGCAGCTGGCCCGTTCGGTCACCGCCGGCCCGTTCGGTCACCGCCGGCCCGTTCGGTCACCGCCGGCCCGTTCTGTCGCTGCTGGCCCGTTCGGTCACCGCCGGCCCGTTCGGTCACCGCCGACCCGTTCTGTCACCGCCGGCCCGTTCTGTCGCCGCCGGCCCGTTCGGTCACCGCTGACCCGTTCTGTCGCTGCCGGCCCGTTCGGTCACCGCCGGCCCGTTCTGTCACCGCCGGCCCGTTCTGTCACCGCCGGCCCGTTCGGTCACCGCCGGCCCGTTCTGTCGCCGCTGGCGCCGCCGGAGGCTGCGCTTACCTGACGGCAGCGCCCCGGCGGGGCGGACGAGCTGTTGGCTCGGGAGCAGGTGGGCAGCGGCAGCGGCTCGGGCCGGCCGGGATGTGCCTTCTCCCCCATCGGCCTCCTGAAGGGATTTTGTTTGCACTGGAATGGCTTTGAAGGAGTGAATGCGTTTATTGATAGCGGAGCTGTTCTCGCAGCCTGGTTGGATTTCCCAGGGCTGCTTTGATAATGTGCCCCCTCCCCCGCGTTCCCCTCGTGGACCCACAGTTGCAGACGGATGCAGGGGAAATACTGCGGAGTTACGGCGCGGCTGGGGGAACGCTCCCATTTCCTGTGCTTCGGTGCACACGGGACGGGAGAAGTGCAATAAAAACCCGAGGGCTGCAGAGCGGGGAGGTGCAAAGGGTCCGCGAAGCCTCTCTCCCCTGTAGCTCTCATTGGGTCTTACTTGATTCAATCCAAACAGTTTTGTCAACAACTTGCCGAATTTACAGCGCCAAAAAGCCGCCGCAGAAGGAGGAACACGAGCCGTCGAGCTCGCTCGGCCCCAGCTTTGGCAGGCGGCACACGCGGCCGCCTCCGCGCCTCGGAGCATGCGACAAGCAGGGCTTGTCACCGCGCCGCCCGGCAGGAATGCCGGGGCAGCCGCTCGGCGCGGCCATGTGCGCCGCACATTGTGTGCACATGTGTGCGGGGGAGCGCCGCGGGGCCGGCCCGGCAGAGCCCGTGTGTGTGTATGGGTGTACACGGGGGGTATGAGGGCGTACATGGGTGTACACGTGCGTATGTGGGCGTACATGTGTGTACACAGGTTTACATGGGTGCACATGTGCGTATGGGGGATGTACACATACGTACATACATTGACATGGGTGTACATGTGCATATGTGGGTGTACCGGTTTAGTTTGCCCTCACGGGGCTTCACGCCGAGCTTGACCAGCGGGAAGGGCCCGGTGATGCCGGGCCGGGCACACGCACGGCGGGCGCTCGCCGCCCGGCCCGGGGCTGCGCGGGGTCCCGCTGCTGCCGTACAGCTTTAAAATCCAGCCCCGTCTGCAATAGGCCGGCCCTGGGCGCATGCGCTGCCCAGAAAGTTTTCCAGCTGCCGTTGGCTCTCTTAACTTTTTTTTCTTTTCCTTTTTTTTTTTTTTTTTTTTTTTTTTTTTTTTTTTTTTTTTTTTTTTTTTTTTTTTTTTTTTTTTTTTTTTTTTTTTTTTTCTCTTTCGCAGTTTTAAGCAGCGGGGTAAAGAGGAGCGAGGGAGAGACGCGGGGGGAGCGGGGCCGGCTGCAGCGGGCGAGGGCAGAGCCCCACGGAGGAAAGGTCGGCTGCCGCGACGCCGCCTGCCCCGGCTTGCTCTCCCGCGTATCCCGCTCCCCGGCGCTGGGCGCCTCTGGCACCGATGGACTGGGGGAGCCGCAGCTCCTGAAGCCCGGACTGCTCCCCTCCCCCTGCCCCTGCTCGCCTTGCAGGATCAGTCGCCCCGTAAGACAGGCAAACGCGTGCACAGCCCCCCTCCCCCTTCCCGCTTGTGCAGAAACTTCTTTTTCTGTTTGGGCTTTTTCTTCTCAGTGTAAAATGGAGGGAGCCGGCCCCGGGATGGCTCTGCAGCGGCGGACCCCCGGCTCTGCACCGCCCAGCCTTTAAGCAAGTGAAGGGGGGCGGGCAGGGGGGAGCCCTGCACCCGCTCGGCTCCATCGTCCCCCTCTCGCGGGCCGGTCCGCGCCGAGCTGCGGAGGGGGCGGTCGGCGGCCCGAGCGCCGGCGGAGCCGGGTGGGAGCGCGGGGAGCCCCGCGGCGGCACCACCTGGGCTGGTGGGACGGATCGTCGCCCGCGGCGCTTTCGCTGCCGCTTGTGAAGATTTTTATTTGCTTCCGCACAATCACGCCCACGGGCGCTGTGTGCGTGTGTTGGGTTGGCTTTTTTTTTTTGGCTTTTTTTTTTTGGTTTTTTTTTTTTTTTTTTTTACCTCCTTCTTCTTCTGCTGGTGGAAAGCCCTAATTACTGCGATTGCTGATGGACCTTGGAAAGAAGGCTGCACTGGTGCCCCGCTCCGCAGTCGGACACGCTCGGTTTGCGCCGGACAGGGCGGCCGCTCGCCCGCCGCCCCCCGCCAGCTCCGCGGGCCCCCGCGCTCCCCCGGCCGCGGCTCGGGACGCTACCGCCCGGCTCCTGCGAGCCAGGATTTTACTCTCGTCTCGCCGTTTCTCCTCCTGCTCCGCTTGGATTACTTGGCTGCTCCCGCTCGGTGATCCCGCGCGATGGAGGTGAGTCCGCGCGGGTGCGGGGGCTCCGCGCCGCAGGGGCCGCGGGCGCGCCGGGTGGGCTGCGCTCGGCGAGGTGCGGGGCCCCGGCGCGGGGCGGCCTCTCCTGCCCTCCTCGGCTGCCGCCGGGTGCTCGTACCTCTCCATGCTCACCCACCGCGGAGAGTTCTGCTCGCCACTTGGGAAGAGCTCTTGTACTTGCTGGTTTTCCTTCTCTTTTTAAATTTCCCCCCGAAGAGAGGCTGCCCGCCGCAGGGACACTTGCTGGGCTCGCTCTGCCCGCCGCGTCCCGGTGCATCTTTCTGGCAGCGGCTCCTAACGCGAGTTTAAAGACATCTTTCCAAACTTCCCAAACTTTCCCGAGGAGGATCGCTATGGAGGAGCCAAACGTCGGCGCTAATGGTGGCCTGTACCTTTAAGGAGAACTGGCTTGGGGCCAGCGGAGGACCCGGAGTCAGCCCCCCCACCCCCCTCCATTTAATTTTATTCTCAGTTTCTGGAGATTATCACTCTGCATCTGCAGCGGGTCCCGCCTGGGTCAGCGCGGAGGAGCGCGGCTCCTCGGGGTCCCCTTGGCGCTGCGAGGACTCCATGTTGGAAAGGCTGTTGGCTTTTTGTTGTTTGTTTGTTTTTAATTGTCAATTGTATGGTAAATGGGCTGCGCTCCGAGGGTCACGGGGAGTTCAACGGGGCCGAGGAGCGATGCTGTCCCCGGGCGCCGAGGGAAGGACACGATGTGCCTTCACCCCCGGGAAAACAACCCCTCTGCGCCTCCGGTGGGGAGAGCTGGGCCGGGACCCGACCAGTGCCTTTCCCTGCAAACGTGAGACGTGGTCTGGCTCCTCCAAATGGCTGTGAAGACGCAGCGGGGAGCAGGGGGCGGCCGGGGGGTCCCCGCGGAGCCGCTGCGCCTCCCGCGGTTTACAGCCCCCCGGAGCCGGGCTCTGGATGCCGCCTGCCCGCTGGTAGTGCTCCTAGAAAACCAGATGCCCTCGCAGGCTTTCCAGACACCCCGTGTAAAACAGGATCAGAGGCGATCCCGCGGTGCAGGATCTGTAAAAGCCTCTCTTTTCATCTCGGCAAGGAGCGCGGGCTCCGCATGGGGTGCGTTAAATACCAAAACCCAATCTCCGCGGCCCTACAAAGTTGAACACGGTGCCTCACACTCCCGTTCTCCAGTGCTCCGTGCTGCTGGGCAGTCTGACTTTTTTTTTTTTTCTTCTATTTTTTTTTTTTACAACATAAAGTTAATAGGTTGGGAAGCAACAGAG